TATTCGGAAGCTAACATTCTCCTATCTTCATATTTAGTTTTAAGCGTTTCAAATATTAATACGTAATTGTTTGCTGTAGGTGTAAAACCCGAGCAGATCGACTGTGCTCTGCCACTAAGTTTGCTAATTAAGTAATATAATTTTTCAGCGTCCGATAACGATGGGTTGTTGTGTATATTGTTTTGAAAACTACTGAAGAAGAAGGGCCACGTCTTAATATCACCATTGAATACCGGAATATCTATTGGCGGTAACCTAATTGAGTCACGAGGGCGTACCTGCATTTCAGGCTTCGCTTCACCTTGAGATTGTAGCAATTTTGCGGTTCTCTTCACGCGACACAACATATCTTCGAATGCCAGCAGCGGTTGGTAGTTCACTATGTATTTCGGGTCGGTTTGTAGTTCCGAATGATTAATTTGATCTAATATTCTTTCGTAATCTGTCCGCAAATTATCTATCGTTTCGATTTCATTTAAAAAGGCCTCCCGTACTGCCTCTATATGAACGTTCTTTTTATAATCACTTATATTCTGCACACGCGAAAAGAGTATGTCCCTCTTGGCATAAAGCGTTTTAATTTTGATTTCACTTCCACTAACTGCCATTTTAAATTATTATAATAAAGTTATATTAATCACAATTAATCTCACACGCATAAACGACGTAGGATGAATACTCGGCGTGCCGTATTACGTAATCAGATCGAGCGCCCGATGCAGTCAAGGCTACGCGTCGTTTGCTAAACCTAATAATTTTATAAAAATTGTGGGGTAAGCGTATCAAACGGTTGCTATCACGCCGTTTCAATTATTTAATAAGCTTTAAATTTAACCAAATACGAGCGCTATTAAACGAATAATTCTGTTTGCGAGTAACAAATCAAAATTTTAATTTAAACGAACACTATTTAAGTCTATTCTATAAATTAGAGTGCGTTATCTAAACAATTAATTTAATAATTCGACCAGAAAATGGTTGGATAACCACTAAACACCAATCCAGATCCGGCTCGAAGGACCATAAAATGGTGGAGCCACGTGTTTAAGGCTGCCGAAAATCTAGTTCCCCGGTCAAACCTCAAACCTATTACGCGAGATATTAACTAAAGTGGACTGTATATGCGATTGCTTCTACGCTTACATAAGGCGACTACTATAGCATGCGGTACAATGCACTCGCTCTTCCCTAAACTAAACTATTACTTGTCGAATCGATGAAAGGAATCCTGCTTGACTAGGAAAAAAACACAGATTGGAGCGGGTTAAATTATTAGCAAGCAGGTATAATTAAGGAATATTGACTCACCGGGGTTTCTTCTTCCTGTCGATCACTATAGCGACTTCTGGAACACTCCGGAGAGAGGCGGTGCGCGACGATATCTCACACGAGGTGAGGCGGGTTCCTGGAGCTCGACTGCTTCCAGGCCAAAGCGGTTTCCACTAGTGAGGTGTTTCCAAACGAGCGCGCGGGAAGAGGAGGTTGTAGTTCAACGACGACTGCGGCGGGAGAAGAGGCTCGCGCATCGGTCGCGCGTGTCTTATATATCCTCGGCTCGGGTGATTACGCGATGTTCTAGAATCGTCTTCTTTCCCCTCCCACCCCACCACCCCGATGTGTCGATAGGAGGGTACGAATGATATTGTTTGGAAAGGAAATAATGATTCTACAAGTTCCTACCGTCAAAATAAAAAACGCGAATGGTTTTCCGCGCAACCATGTATAATTATATATTATAAGTATATATATATATATATATATATATATATATATATATATATATATATATATATATACAAGAATTGCTCGTTTAAAGGTATAGGATAATAAGTTTTACATTTTATATGTGGTAGAGCCATGCTGCAGTTATATTAGTAGTACAGTCGTAGCAAGAATGGGTCGGCTCGACCGGGGAAGGACCACAGAACTCTCACAGAATACCTGCGTCAAATAGCAGCCTAATGCTGCTGTGTTTCGTATGGTGAGTGTAGAGAACCGGAGTCCCTTTTTACTGGAAACGAGGCATTCCATCTTAGTCCTCACGGGTGACAACGCATCTGCATTTTGATTTGAAATCTAGGATAGATGTAGATGTCTATGGGCCGTAGCAACCTCTTACCATCAGGTGGACTGTGTGCTAGTTTGTCACCCTATTCTATAAAAAAAAACACAACTTTTTTACTACTAAGTGTTTTTATGGCATGAGTTATCATAATAAATAAAAAAATAAAACATTTGAAATAAAAATCTGATCACAAAAGGCCAATATTTCTCTACTAGGAACATTTATGTTTGCCTCTGTAAAAATTCAGTAAATCTATCTAATAGGTAGTTTATGCGAATACACTAACGTACACAGAGAAGTTTCTGAATTACTACCGAGCACCCACTTCAGAAGCTATTATGTGGAAATAATTTTATTTTTTTTAACTTCTATTTTCTATGAAGTTCGCATTTACTTTTTCTTTTATCCTATACCTTTAAACGAGCAATTCTTGTATATATATAATCGGAATCTCGGAAACGACTCCAACGATTTTCATAAAATTTTGTGTCCGAGGAGTTTCGAGGGCAATAAATCGATCTAGCTAAGATTTAAACATAAACATAAACACTCACGCCTGTCACCCAGAGGGGTAGGCAGAGACTACAGACTTCCATTTAGCACGATCCTGACATACCTTTCTCGCCTCTTCCACATCCATATACCTACGCATACATGCTCGTCGGTTAAGAGTACTCTTAATTTAGCCCATTTTTAGTATATGGCCAATTTGGTCGACAAACTTCTACCTAGGACGTCCCTTTCCGACTCTTCCATTCACTTCTGCAACATATAGGTATTTGCTTTGTCAGTCTTTCCGCATTCATTCTTTCTACATGACCAAACCACCGAAGCATTCCTTTCTTAATCCTGGTCACCGCATCATCTTGCAAACCACACTCTTCTTTTATCACACAGTCACACCCTGTCACTGTCACTCAGATTCAGCCCTAACATACTACTTAGCGACCGCATTTCTACTGCATTTATTCTACTCTCGTGCTTCTTCTGCCATACCCAACTTTTACTACCAGTAAAGTAGGGACTAATACAGCACTGTGAATTGCCATACGTGCCTTTTTTGTCACATTCTGACTATTCACAATAGAGTGTAGAGCCCCATTTACTTTATTTCCTGCATTCACTCGTCGTTCAATATCCTTATCATATCTCCCATCCCTGCTGAATACACATCCCAAATATAAGAACTCATCCACTTGCTCAATTAACTCTCCTTCTATTCTTATTTCACATACCGTTTTGCTTTCTTCTCTTTCAAAAACCATCACTTTCGTCTTACTTGCGTTCACTTTCATTCCCCTTTCTTTTAATGACCTGTTCATTAATGTAACCATCATTTGCAACTCGGCCGCCGACGACGCAAGTATGACTTGATCATCGGCGTACAAAAGGCATTTGATGGTTAACTCACCCATTCTTAACCCGCATTCTTCAACTTTCAAATTTTGCAAACAACTGTCCATAAATAGGTTGAACAGCCACGGGGAAGCTACACAGCCCTGTCTGACACCTTTATGGATGCCAAACCAGGCCGAGTAGACCCCGTTGATTCTAACACAAGCGCTCAACCTAAATGCGTTCAGCGTTTGCCATAACACATCCCTGTCCACTCTGTCATAAGCCTTTTCCAAGTCCATGAACGCACAAAAAACTTTTTGGTTTTTCGCCAAAACTTCTCCGCGATCATGCGCATGGAAAAGACTTGATCAGTACACCCCATTCCCTTTCTAAATCCCGCTCGCTATGGGGGGATAAGTCGCTCGCGTCCGTAGGCTTCGACCACCTAATCCTAGGCCCACCCTACACGTTTCCCCCAGGTGGTGCTAAAAGAGCGACAAAGCCGAAAGAACAGACTCGGCTACTTGCCGTGTGATAGCGGCGTAAAATATGCCACACCCTAGTTTTCGCACCATGAGGCAAGCAAGCAAGCTAGGATTTATTTTTAGAGAATGTCTTTTTGTCCGTGTTTTCAGGCTATGAAAAACTGCTAGAATATAAGAAGGTAAATTTTGAGACTGTTCTATAATGATCGTAATAGCTCAAGTGGATATCGAGCGGTCGCGAAATCGTAATGCCTTGGTTCGCGTCCTGTCTTCGGTCTAATTTTTTTTTCCTTTTTTTTCTAGTTCCCTCTTTTTGAGAAAATTTATTATTTCTAGCCCTTCTTTTAGTATTTTTTAAAAATAAGTAAATTGTAATTAAAGTAATTGCACTCATGATTTTTATTCAAATAACTAGTTCAGTTTTTTCTATTATGTCAATAAGATCAAAAAATATTATTCATCAGTATGGAATTTGTATCTAAATGTAATTTCCAAAAAGAAAACCGAGCAAAACTCGGTCATCCGGGTACTTTTTTAATTAATTTTCTAATATTTCAATGCGTATAGCGTTATAGCCACACTTTGTTAGGTTGAAAGCCAGCGTCAGCGATACTTGTCGGTATTCTCAATGATGTGTGCAAAAACTAGGCGATTACGTAAAATAACTAGGAACAGACACAAGCTAGTAGTACCAATTACTTGACTCCACCGATTCAGTAATTCATTCTTGGGGCGATGTATAAGCTTACAACAAAATCCCAGAAAATATACAAAAATTGACCTGCACAAAGTTTAAAATCTTTATTAAACTAAGTTTGTATATTTATTTGGTTTATTATAATATTAAGGAATTTATAGATGTTATTATAATCCCTGTGAAGGGTGATCGCCACCAAGCTATTTCTAATTTGTTATATGTTGTTAACTGTAACTTACATTATTGTAACTGTTATTTTTTTAAAGTCCCGCTGGTTTTCTTGCTGGTTCTTCCAAGGACGGAGGTGTTTTTCCGAACCTATGGTGAATTATAAAAAAGTGACTCAATAGGTATTATTTATAATCTATATCGAATAAAAAAGTTTCTGTTTAACATCATTGTCTATCAATTTCAGGGTACTCATTGGGAGCATGTCAACAGCCCACAAGCGTTAATGGCAATAAGCACATGCAATAATATAATTTGGACAGTAGGTCGAAAAGGTGAACTGTATTATCGAGAAGGTATATCCGGAACTAATCCAGCAGGATCTAACTGGAAGTTAATAGAGGCACCAAAATGTGGGTTCGCTTACGGACAGAAAGCAACCGTTGGAGCAAAGGCTGTGTCTTTAACAAAAACTACAGCTTGGGTGCTGCTAACAAATGGTACGATTGCTGTCAGGACTTATATCAGTGAAGAACAACAAGATGGTAAAAAATGGAAATATATATCAGGTATGTAATTTGACTTACAAACAATACAGTGTAGTTATTCGCATTTCATTCGCAATTCACATTCCAAAGTTATTATACATCTTGTAAGTAACTGGTTTCACTGTATCACCAGGAAACAGTTTATGAACCGATAAAGTTTATTCTCATCAGTATATTTATTGCTTGTTGCATCAGTATATTTACTGGCATGGCATTATGTAACATGTATAAACTTAATTTAATTCAAGTATTTTTTTTTTCTTTATTATCTAAGATTTTTGTATGCTAACAAACTTTTCTCCTTCGTTTTTCACTTTTTCACTTTAACTTCCAAGTATGAAAAATAGACATATTATTAATAAGTCTACTGATTGCCATGTTGATTTACTGCAATACAGTGGAGGATATGAATTGCAAGCTTGTGGAAACTGTCCATGCGGGGTCGGAGCTAAGTGCTGCAAGATCCGTCGCAGAAGAACTCTCCCATCACACTCTTAATCTCATGGCTGTTAGAAGAAACGAAGCTGCAGTTTTCGGTACATATGACAGCATACATGCAACTGTACAGACATTTTCTTACGCAACTTCAATACAGCTCGTATTGTAGAAGCGATCAAGCGGAATCAAGGCTCCAAAGTATGCCAGATATCTGTCTGCCAGAAAGAACCAACTGTCAAAGCTGAAGACCGAATGTGGTAGCATTTTTTCCCGGGACTCAGCTGTACACGTCATTGTTGGAGCCACACGCAAGTATAACGTTCCAAGAGCAAGTCTTATCCCACACTATTCCTATGATATTCCGGACGTTCGCCTGAGCGAGATTAGAATGGCTCCCCAGCACCTTAAAAACGGCAAGTCCCTGGCCGAGGATGGAATTACAGCGAAGTTTCTGAAAGCGGATGGAAAAGCAATACTTGAAATTCTTAACAAGCTCTTCAATTTCATACTCCATGATGGCACTACTCCAAAGGTGTGGAGTAAAAGTGCGGTGGTCTTGTTCCTTAAAAATGGTAACTACGCTATGCTGAAGAACAACATACCGATTTCCCGCGCCTATATGCTTTTTTTTTGAAGCCGTGTAGTGGCGGTTGAGAATATCCACTACCCCATATCTTCCCGTGGGTGTCGTAAGAGGCGACAGAAGGAAACAGAAAAGAGATGGGTAGCAGCATCTTCCTAATAACAACAATAACATAATAAAAAAATGCGGTTGCCAACCCGCTCGCCAAGCGTGGCAACTATGGCAGATATCCCCCATGAGCAACGACACAAATAAACGGCCCCCAGTCCCCGGCGGCCCCGCTATTCCTGGCTACGGTGGCGACCATGGTAACGGCGGGGCAGGGGGTGCTAAGATTCTCCGGTGGAGGTTCGGTTGCCACCTACGACGACTCGACCTGGCAACGTATAACGCACGCACCCTGAGGACTGACGAGAAGATACTGGAGCTGGAAGAAGAGGTAGAAAAGTTGCGCTGGCATATTATTGGATTATCTGAGATCCGAAGAGAGGGGGAGGACACGGTAATCCTCGAGTCCAGCAACTTGTTCTATCACCGGGAGGGCGACCGTCTGTCCCAAGGAGGTGTCGGATTTATTGTCCACAAGTCTCTCGTCAACAACGTTGTAAAGATTGGGAGTGTGTCGACGAGGGTCGCGTACCTGTTACTCAGAATCACCAAACAGTATTCGCTGAAGGTCATACAGGTCTACGCACCAACCTCGGCACATCCCGATGAGGAGGTGGAGGAAATGTATGAGGATATTTCTAGAGCCATGAATTCCTCCAAAACCCACTCACTACACGGTGTTGATGGGAGACTTCAACGCAAAACTAGGCACAAAAGAAGGCGATGAGCTGAAGTTAGGGAAATTTGGAGTAAGGCAACGGAACCGTAGGGGCCAGCAGCTGGCTGACTATGGAGAAAGAGGGACTCTTTATGATGAACTCTTTCTTCCAGAAGCGGTCCCACAGGAAGTGGACCTGGTCGAGTCCCGACGGTGCGACAAAAAATGAGATTGACTTCATTATGACGACCAGACGCCAACTGTTCAGTGATGTCTCAGTGATCGCAAGGGTGAAAACCGGCAGCGATCACCGAATGGTTAGAGGCACACTGAACCTAAACGTTAAGTTAGAGAGGTCTCGTCTAATGAAGTCAACGCTCCGTCCCCCTCGTGCTCTAATCCAGAATCCCGAGACTTTTCAGCTCGAGTTACGTAACCGCTTTCAGTGCCTAGAAGATTGCAATGCAGTGGACGATGTGAATGACAAGCTCGTGGAAACTGTCCATGCGGTCGGAGCTAAGTTCTGCAAGACCCGCCGCAGAAGAACACAAAAACTCTCCGATCACACTCTTAATCTCATGGCTGTTAGACGGGAGATGAGGCTGCAATCATCAACAGATTTGACAGCATACAGGCAACTGAACAGACAGATCTCCAAATGCATGCGGCAAGACTTACGCAACTTTAATACTGCTCGTATTAAAGAAGCGATCGAGCGGAACCAGGGCTCCAAAGTCTTTGCCAGAGATCTGTCTGCCAGAAAGAGCCAACTGTCAAAGCTGAAGACTGAGTGTGGCAGCATCGTTTCCGGGACACCTGAGATTTTGAGTGAGATTGAGAGGTTCTATGGGCAGCTGTACACATCATCGTTGGAGCCACACGCAAGTGTGAGTAACGATACAAGAGCAAGTCTTACCCGACACTATTCCGATGATATCCCGGACGTCAGTCTGAGCGAGATTAGAATGGCTCTTCCAGCACCTTAAAAACGGCAGGGCCCTAGGCGAGGATGGAATTACAGCGGAGCTTCTGAAAGCGGGTGGAACACCGGTACTTGAAGTCCTTGAGAAGCTCTTCAATTCCGTCCTCCATGGTGGCACTACTCCGGAGGCGTGGAGCAGAAGTGCGGTGGTCTTGTTCTTTAAGAAAGGCATCTCTTGAAGAACTACAGACTGATTTCCCTTCTGAGCCGCGTCTACGTGCTGTTTTCGAGAGTCATTACGAATCGTCTCGCACGCAGACTCGACGACTTCCAGCCTCCCGAACAAGCCGGTTTCCGAAAAGGCTTCAGTACCATAGACCACATACATACCCTGCGGCAGATTGTACAGAAGACCGAGGAGTACAATCTGTCACTTTGCCTGGCGTATGTGGACTATGAGAAAGCCTTTGATTCCGTCGAAATTTGGGCGGTGCTACAGTCCCTTCAGCGGTGCCAAGTTGACTGTCGGTATATCGAGGTGCTGAAGTGTTTGTAGAGTAGGGCTACGATGGCTATCCGAGTACAGAACCAGAGTTCGAAACCTATCCAACTGCAGAGTGGTGTAAGACAGGGTGACGTTATATCCCCGAAACTCTTCACCGCTGCGTTGGAAGACGTTTTCAAGCTACTGGACTGGAAAGGATACGGTATTAACATCAATGGCGAGTACATCACTCACCTTCGATTTGCCGACCATATAGTCCTTATGGCAGAATCGCTGGAGGACCTTAGCACTATGCTCAATGACCTCAATGGTGTCTCCCAACGGATAGGTCTTAAGATAAACATGGAAAAAACAAAGATTATGTTCAATGTCCATGTCACACCTATGCCGGTAGTTGTGGGGAGCACTATGCTCGAAGTTATTGACGAGTACGTTTACTTGGGACAAATAGTCCGACTAGGTAAGTCCAACTTCGACCGAGAGGTCAATCGACGGATTCAACTCGGCTGGGCAGCGTTCGGGAAATTACGACACATCTTCTCGTCAGGTATACCTCAATCTCTGAAAACAAAAGTGTACAACCAGTGCGTGTTGCCAGTGATGACTTACGGATCAGAGACGTGGTCCTTCACTGCTGGCCGTATGAGGACGCTCAAGGTCGCTCAGCGAGCTATGGAGAGGGCTATGCTCGGAGTTTCTCTGCGTGATAGACTCAAAAATGAGGATATCCGCAGTAAAACCAGAGTAACCGACATAGCCCAACGGATTAGTAAGCTGAAGTGGCAATGGGCCGGCCATATAGCTCGAAGAACCGATAACCGATGGGGAAGAAAGGTTCTCGAGTGGCAGCCTCGTACGGTAGGCGTAGTGTAGGGCGACCCCCACTAGATGGAGTGACGACCTGGTAAGACATGCAGGAAGTCGATGGATGCAGGTGGCTCAGGACCGTGCTTTGTGGCGTTACTTGGGGGAGGCCTATGTTCAGCAGTGGACTTGTGAAGGGCTGTAATGATGATGATGATGATATGCTTTTTTTAAGAGTCATTACGAATCGTTTCGCACGCAGACTTGACGACTTCTAGTCGCCGAATCGGTATTATTTTACAAAGATTTGTGGTTGGGATGTTCTTGAATTGGAATCTTGACGGCAAGTGGGATTAACAAATCTGAAGGATTCTCATTATAGTACTTAGGTTTATGTTATATGTATAACATAATCATCCGTTACAACACAAGTAACAAAACTATAATTTAAGTAATGCACGGTTGGGTGACTTTATGGCTAAACAGTGATCTCTTCTAGTTCTAGGTAAACCTATTGCGAAGATTATTTTTTAAACTGTGTGCAATACGTACATTTCTATAAAGATGAAGTCATCATCATCATTATCACTGCCTATAAAAGTCCACTGCTGAACATAGGCCTCCTGCATAGATTGCCTCGTATTTCCTCGGATTTTGCCATAATTGACATGCTTGGTGAGCGGGTTGTCAACCGCAGGTTTTTATTATTTTGATTAGTCATCAGGAAGATGCCGCTGCTCATCACCTGTTTCAATTTACCTTGGTCGCGTCTTGCGACAGCCACGGGACGATATGGACTGGTGGATATTCCTACACCGCCACTACACGGCTTAGAAAAAGATTTCGGTTAAGGTGAAGTACTGCTAAAGATGGCCAGGCAGACGTTGTTCTGCCCTTTCCGACGATTTTCCTGTAAAAAATCCTTAAATACGCAATAAAAAATTAAGGGTTACTTATCGGTTTGAAAATCATCCTATCTCTCAAGTTGGAAAAACTGCACACGGTGTGCTAAATTTCATTGAAATCAGTTCAGTAGTTTAGGAGTTCATCGCGGACGAACAACGTGACACGTAATTTATATATATAAAGATTTTGAAAAATATGTTGATTCGCAGGTGGAGCTAATCGATTATGGTAATTCATGCCAGCATTACTAATGTTGTAGATTGCAATAATTTTAGGGTGCAGCTTAACACTGGGTATATAAGACTATAATATATTATTCTTAGAAAAAGGGCTTTGTCGCTGGAGTGATTATGACGCTCTGTGCCACTGAAGTAATATGTACTTATAGTGCCACCAACTTATCTGTTCAGTTTACAGAGTCGCTAGTGGAGTGCTTACTATTGCCATTTAAGAAATTCGCCGAGGAAATAGGTGACTACATATTCATTAGGTACACATAATATAAAATAAAACAAATTTCGTGTTAATATATTAAAATTAGTGAGAATTAGTGTTATTATATATATTATTTATATTTTATAAAAATAATTGTGGTCGTGGTCTCGGAGTTCAAGCGGCCGAACTCCAGGAATTTCTGTTTTGAAAGACGTACCCGCGTTAGCTACTGATTCCAATAATTCATCTTCTGAGTCACTGGAATCGCTTTCGCTATCGCTCTGACACTCTATAATAAAGGGTTCATCTAAATACGCGTCTTTTAGTCTGTATTCATTTTCAATTTTTTTCACATGATTACAAATGTTTTTCCACTGCACCGGTGTAATTTTATTGAATGCATCTTCAATTAATTGGGGCATTAGAACATTAGATTTTCCAACATTTTTGTCTGCTATGTTCCTTTTCATAGAGCTCCATATCATTTCAATTGCGTTCAAGTCGCAATGATAAGGCGGCAATCTAAGAATAACATGGCCATAACTTTTCATCAGGTTATCAATTTCATATTCCGGAGCAGGTTTATTTTTCTTTATTAACTCATAAAGCTGTGGTTTTGTCATTTGTTCATTGAAATCCACATTGTTTTCTACAAGCCACTTCTGCATATCAGCCTTACTGTGGTTTGAATTAGGACACCTATTTACGCAAATACTATGGTATGGCGCATTATCCATCACAATGAGAGAAGGTTCATGCAGATTAGGTAGTAATTTTTCATATACCCATTTTTTGAAATTAGTGCTATTCATTTCATCATGGTAGTCCCCATACTTTGTATTTGATTTAAATACGAGAAGTGCATTTTCCACAAAACCTTTTTCTCCACCTGCATGGATTATGATCCACCTATTACCTTTCGAAACAGGTTCCAAATCGCCATCCTCTTCAGGACCTTGCCAACATTTCCCAGTTGAGTGAGACGAATGTATGTAAGTTTCGTCTAAATAAATAATAGGTCTTTTTTCACCACACTCATTTTCTTTAATTTTTTGTAGGTAGGTTGCTCTCCATGCAGCTACGTCGTTACGTTCATACAACACTTTTCTATTTGATTTTGTTTTCTAAATTATCTAAACTAAACTAAATCCTATTTTGTGAAGCAATTTTCGAAGAGTTTCACGTTCTGCTTTGAAATCAATATCTTCTTTTAAAATACTCAGTAATTTGGGTATGGTAGGAATTTCTTTTTTCACTGAATAAAATTCGTGAATTTTTCTTCTTATAACGCCAATGTCGAAAATATCAACTTCTTGTTTCCCGGTTTTTCTTTGCCTTTTTTTGCCAGGGGTAGAAATTTTAGAATTTGATTCTTCAGCGTGTTTCTCTTCATTTACGAGTTTGTGTACAAATCGCTCAGAAACACCTGTAACGAAACGACAAATAATTATTGTATAGGTAAAATTAAATAAATATAAGCCCGTGTATATGCCGTCACTATAGCTACTTCACAGACCACAAATTACAAAGCTAGGTAATTTAGACGAATTACAGTAAATTGAGAATTTTTTTTACTATCTTTCACAAGTACATTATTAGGTGATTTTAATTTTCCATATCTGGCAATACTAACCTGTCGCGGCAGTAACGCGTTCATACAGCTTTTCAAATGGTATAATTGGAGCTTGTACACGTTTCTCTTCTTTCATAAAAGATAAAACTTTTAGGATAATCTGTCGCGCATCACTTTTAAGAGCTTTAGGCATTTTATTTGCACTTTTTAAAAACACTCACCTGATAGCTCAGAATAAATAATAACTGACAGCGAAATGTCATTTACAAAATGGCGGCCTTAGTTCCAATTTTGTCCACCTGAACAGATAAGTTGGTGGCACTATACGTACTAGAACAGCTGTCTCAAACAAAAAATGTGCGCTACTCTGTGTTCGCGCGTTTGGTTTTTTATCATAGAATAAACAGAGGTAGAATGATCCGTAGGTAATAGTAGATTACATTGTTAAATAGGTAAATTATATCGAGAATAATATTTAAATTATGTCATTTATTTTGTATATTATATTTGATTATTTAATATAATATTACATAATATTATGTCATAATTACATTTCAATGATATTTTTATCTGAATATTTTAAAAGGTATCTATGTCAAATATAAAAAAAACATACTAAATGTGTATTTAACAAAACTTATTAACATATCATTTAAATTACAAATATATTTATTTAAATTAGAATAAGAGTCTTTCGTAAATGCTGGACACGCGAAAGTTAAAAATGGACGAATTTATTCCACTTTGACTTTGATATGGAAACCTAAAAATAAAATAAAAGAATAATAAGCAGATTTAAACATGAAAAATTATTATAACTTATATATGTTTCTACAAAAAATGTGTATAATAATATATTCGTCCTATACTTAGTACCCACAGAAATGTCGCATCTGAACATATTAATTTCATAATCTATATTTCATGACACGAGATGGCGTCTTAGCAATAATTTGTTTTATTATTATTCTATAATACTTTTTTTATTGATTAAGTATCTTATTAACCGATGAAAAGTAATTCCTTGGTTTTTACTGACATTTCTTGAATTATTTGTGCAATATCTAAGTACACACGACGGCAGAGATTTTTTTTAAATCAACACGTGTCAACTCTACAAGCGCCTAGCGAGTGAATGATTAAAGTGCGGTGTATGCACCGCAGTTGGGTGGAACATAGTAGCTGATTGCAGTGTCGCCTCTAGTACGTAGTACGTAATAGCTCAATGCTCTGTGCCCTGTTTATCAAAATTTACAAGCCTTGTATTACAAGCAATTTTCCTGTAAAAAAATTAATTATTACAAATATGTGTTTATCAAAACTGCACATGTAATTTACAAGTTACAAGGGTCATTATTTATTTCACAACTATATTTTTACACTTGTATTCGTGATTTTGTTTATCAAAAATCCCTTGTAAGTTACAATTTGTAAAAAATTATAACAAATCCAAAGAGTGTCCAGCGACTCTCCATTCCGTCTTACAAGTGTTTTAAGTAAAAGTAAAGTAAAGTTACAGCCTATATACGTCACATTGCTGGACAAAGGCCTCCCCTCATTTCTGAGAGGGTTTTAAGTAGTACTGTAATATTTTTTTTTATTTCATTGTCCTTTTTAAAATGTAGTCAAGTGCCTGAAGCGATGATGAAATTATTAGAATAATAGAACCAAGAACATATAGAACAAGAATCGACTACGGTCAATATGGAGACGACCTATGAATTTAATGGAAGGTTTCGACATAAAGAACTTTTTGTCGCGAATCAGTTGTAAAATCGTTATTTTATTATCATTTCCAGACGTTTTACAAGAAATCGCAAAATATCGCCGCGAATACACTTCAAATTATATATAAAAGTCGGAAATACTTTGTCGCTACTACCTGTGCTACTACTTTTTTAATGTCCCATCAAAATTAGGCACAAACGATATACCATACAGCCATGCGTTTAAATAAGGATATTCAATAAAAAACAAAAACATAATGGCGGGAAAAGAATGCGGCACACAAAAATTTTAGAACTTACAAGTAGAACCTACAAGTGTTAAATTTTACCAGCCCTGTAGATTTTTTTGATAAACGTAATTTACTCGAACTTGTAAAAACTTTCTTGTAAAGTGTAACATGTGAACAAGTAGACTTGTGAGTTTTGATAAACAGGGCACTGGTCAACAAAATTCTTAAATAGGATAAATACTAAACAATTAAACTTATTAATTACATAATCTCTTATTTACTAACACATAAAGCTTTTTGGCATCTTCTGATAACGGGTCTGATAAAATGCTATTAACACTGCCAAAATCAATGACAAATGTAATATACAATTTTTTCTTTCTATGGAGTTCTGGGCACATTCTATCAAAATGTGATAAACATCATCGATAACGTTGCAAGTTGAACAATTTGGTGAGGTAGTTTTCGCAACAAGTATGAAAATTTATTGCATTTAACGTGCCCAGACCTGAGTATAAAATTTTTAAAATGTTCTTTTTTCAAATATTTTATTTTAAGTTCTGCTTTGTTACAGATTATGAATTTTTATTTAAACACATTTCCTGTATTGAGAAGGAAGTATGGGCTGTGAGGTGTGACGGCGCTTTGCAGCGGCGGTTGGGTGTCACAGCAGACAACCCCACGGGCTCAACATGGCAGCCGGTACTTACTGGAAACTTCGTACACGTATCTGCTCGAGGCGGCTCCTTTGCATAAGTTAATAGGGTTGTTACGAAGTTAGAAGGCTATTTCAGTATAAACAAATGTATAAAGTCTTTCAAATTGCAGTTAACTGAGATAGCATTACTGTTATGTTAATTTGAAAGAAATCCCCAGAAGTATGTAGTTAAATTAAAAGTTTAACTTCTGCCGCCTAAAAGCGGTTTTTGAAAATAACAGACAGTATTTTTTTAATTTAATTATAACCATAGCATAAAAAATTTTAGTATGAGGGCTCTTCTGGACTTTCCATGGTAACAAATAGTAGCCATGAAATATTTTCGTAATTTGGTATTGATGTTGGAGAACTTCATATGGCTTAAATTTAATCAATAATCACTATATGCTATATGTCTCCATATATTTAGGTTTTTTTCTTTCGTTGTGATGGCTTGGCACTCGGCAAAATTAATATGGTTTTTATTGGGCACATGTTTGTTTCTCTTTAATAAAGGAATTGCTATATTTAATAGACTCACGTTAAAAATAATTCGAAGCGTTACCATTGCGATAAAGAGTTATTATGGCCAAATACTCAACCGCTACACAATTTTAAGATGTCCTAAGTCTCGTGTGGCCATAGTCACTTTGAAATAGAGACTTATCGTCATTTTAAATTGTGCAGCGTTTGAGTATTTCGGCATTAGTCCTTTCAATATCCACAAATCCTCAATATGGTGTAGATTCTTAATTTCCGGGAGGTCCCTTAAACCAATGTTAAAATGAATTTAAAACATTCAGATTGTATTAAATAAATATTTACAAATGTGAAAACAAAATGTCATATTAGGTATTTAAACAATTTTAACAGCTGTCGTTTATTTTTTTTAAACTTTTGTTCAAAAGAACATTATGCAATTGTAACATATACATACAGCCAAATATTAAACAACAGTAACAAACCAGTTGCAAGTGTACAATTCGATTTAAAAGCCTGGTAGGTATCAAATTTTAATATTTAGGGCATTTAAAGGTAAATAATTTTGGAAACATCTGTTCAGTTCTATCGCTACATGATGTGGTCCTTCTTGCCTTGCCATAAGATACAATTAACAGGGCAATTGATATTTTTAGCTGCTCTTTTCTATGCGAGAATATTGAAAATGAAACCAATATTAACTTTTTGATATTACATCATTTCTATTTATTGGTTTTCTGCTAGAAGATGTACCATTCATGGATTTTCGAAGAGTAATTGACATAAATACTCTCCCAAACCAGCACAAATTAAAATAAAATCATTTACAAATACATATTTCAACGGAAAGTTTTATACTGCCCCACATTATTTGTATCTTAAAAATGTTTGGAGTTGCGATTGTTATATTACTTTTCAGTGTGCTTGAACGTTAATATGCTTGCTTAAAAATATTGTTGTAAACAAAGCAAGTTCGTAAATGTAATTGTAATAAAAATTAATGCAAATGATTTAATACATTCCCTAGTAAAAGATCTCTTATAGGTTATTAATTTATTTTTTAGAACGCTCTAACCTCGATTTTATTATGATATTCCTTGTTTACCTAATACTATATTTGTCTAATAGCAACATTTTTATCACTAGTCATTTTATATTTATTGAATGTTCCTTTTATGCATTAAGTGAAGTAAAGCATATGTATTGAAGGTACCAAAAATGTAAGCTTATATTCATCAGATAATAAATGTTGCCTTTCAAGATGTTTTTGTCATTTTTAAGGTGAAATGGATCCCAAAGCCGGTGTTTTAGCTACACATACACGGAATATCAATATTCAATACAGCGGGTCAACCGCGGTAATCCGACATACGTTTTGCAAGGCGGTGTCGGATTATCACTATAGAGTACTGCCACAACCCCTGGTAATCCGGAACTTTGTGAAATTGAGTACCATGGAATCCGACAAATTACGTGTCAAATTAATAAAAAATTAAAGCCATGTAATGCACAATGAATACCTAAACAGTAAATGATGAAAGCCCGCTAGGCCGCTACCATAGTCACATTTAATTTGACACAATAATACGCGCCAAGATATTGTCGTACTACCGGGAACTAATTGCAACTTGTTTGTCCACGTATTCGTGAAGAACAGCGGCAACAGAAGAACCCCCCGTGACGGATTGATAACGTGACTCGATCTATATGTTATAGGCATGTCGGATTACAAGGAGGGGGGGGGGGCAGAACACGATTAACACAAATTTGATCAAAAAAAATCGTTGTTTCCACAATATCTATTTTTATATTGTGACCAGGAAAGCCCAATGTCGACCCAGAGGTCAATCCACAGACACAACTAATCTGAGCAGCATTCAGAAGATTAGATACGACCTACCGAAGTGGAAACATAGTAACCGACATAGACCAATGGATTGGTAAGCTGAAGTGGTAAATGTGTCGGCCATATATCTAAAAAAAAATCGACAACCGATGGGGAATAAAGGTTCCTGAGAGGCAGCCTCGTAGCCGGTAAACGAAGTGTAAGGCGATCCCTCACTAGATGGAGTGACGAAATGGATGAATACCGTGATTTTCGGCATCACTCGGAGTAGGTCTATGTTCAGCAGTGATCTACGATGGGTTGTAATATGATGATGATTGCGGCAGTTGAACAGTGCTTAATATGTGAAATCTGGTAATTTTTTATAAACAAAAATTGTCTACTATTCAAGAAAGGCTAAAGGGAAATGTTTAAATACTAATCACTCACTGCTTTTGCTTGGTTGGAGCAGTTATTCCACTAGTCGTAGCCTACGACTATCGTGATGAGTCCGTTGCGGTCGTACCTTTAGTACAAGTAAAGATGTTCGTGTTGTGGAGAGACGACTTTTTGCCACACCGGGATAAGCAGTGTTGCTAATAGCATGTATCATGTAATTATGACCGGGACTGAATGTGTAGTGGGGGTACACAGTTTCATAGCTAACAATGATTAATTGCGTTAGCAAAAGTGTAAGATCATCAGTTCTCACACTAACAACTTCTTAAACTATTGCCGACTCAGTATGGGCATCTAATAAACTTAAGGCCCGCTACATACACACGAAATTCCGTTTCGGAATTCCGATTCGAACGCAGCAAGTCCATATAAAATTAAGGACCCGTCACACAACTACGGTAGTTTCCGTTCGAATTTTTGCGGGCTAAATGGGATTCTATATGTGTGTGGTCGACCCGTTTGTTCCGTTTCGGAATTTCGAATATAGCGGGTCTAAATGATCATCGCTTGGAGAGGCTTAGATGCGATAGGTATAGTGGAGAAGCTACTATCACTTCATTATTAAAACAACTGTTTCGGACATTATTGTTAATTTTGTGTATTAAAATAAATATTTACATCCAATCCAAAAAACACTTCTTTAAGACATATAAATTATGTAATAAATGAGTGACAGTAGGAATTCATAGTAGACTAAGAATATAGGACCTTTACAATTAATGATCTTTCATTATAATTAAAGTGGTATTTAATAATATTTAATTCAGCCATACGACCTTTTAAGATAATAATTTTAGGTTTTATTATGGTCGATAAATTTTCGCCTAGGACTTCCCTTTCCGACTCTGCCATTCAATTCTGCAACATAAATTTTCTTTGTCACTCTTTCCTCATTCATTCTTTCCACATAACCAAACCACCGAAGCATTCCTTTCTTAATCCTGGTCACAACATCATCCACTGCAAACCACACTCTTCTCTTATTACACAATTTTTTACCCTATCATTCAGATTCAGCCCTAACATACTCCTTAACGACCGCATTTCTACTACGTTCATTCTACTCTCGTGCTTCTTCTGCCACACCCAACATTCACTACCATACGTTAAAGTAGGGACCAACACAGCATTGTGAATTGCCATACGTGCCTTTTTCAACACATTTTGACTCTTCACAATAGAGTGTAGGGCCCCATTTATTCTATTTCCTGCATTCACTCGTTCTATATCCTTATCACATCTCCTATCCCTGCATTTCGAGTGAAACTCTATCATATCCGGCAGCCTTACCTGCTTTCATGCGTTTCATTGCTTTCATTATTTCATCTATACTTATCTCGCTACCTCTTTCCTCTTCTTTCGGAGTTTCTACTTCATTTACTTTATACGTTGTCTCCTCACTCATAAAAACGCTTTCAAAATATTCCTTCCATCTCTTTAAACTCAAAACTTCATCATTCAGAATATAGCCATTCTCTCTCTCTTATAGCATTCATTATAGGCTGTTTTAAATGTCCCCTGGCAGTTCTTACAAGTTTCCAGAACATTTTAATTTTGCCTGGAAGTTATCCGATATTCTTCTATCATTGTTATCCGTTCTTTCTTACTTTTTTTTTCATCTAGCCATGCTCTCTTCTTTGCTTCAACTTCCATACGTATCTCATCGTCCCACCATAGCGTATTATTTTTCCTTTCATTCTTTCTCTTACTAACACCACATACTTCGGTAGCTGCATCCACTAAACCTTTCTTTACGCTTTGCCCTACATTCCTTCTCCAACTCCTTCATACATAATTCATCCAAACCACTTATATTTTCTTTCAGTCTACATTTGGACTTGTTTTTCTCGCCTTCCTCTTGTAACCTTTCAGTTCTAATACGCTGTAATGCAGTGGTAGACACAGATGATCGATGGCGCCAACGCCTGAATAGACCATTAATTCGGCATAAAACCAAATAGTGATCCGTTCCTACGTTAGACCCCGGTAAGCCCTTGTATCTACCACTGCGTCCCTCATTCTTTCATCCACAATTATGAAATCTATCATGCTTCTATCATCACCTTCTTTCCCAAGTATACGTGTGAATCCTCTTGTGGCGAAAGCAAGTATTCGTCACAAAAAGATTCTTTTCCATACATACGGTGAGGAGGCTTTCACCATTCTCGTTTATGCTTTCATCACCAAACGTTCCCAATATCCTTTTATAAACAAGCCTCCTCACCACAACCCTTCCATTAAAATCTCCTAGCATAATAATATTTTCATTTTCCTTACATTTCATTAACACCATCC